ATCCCCCATACTATTACCTGTGTCCTTGGGTTATGGATATATGTGGGGGTGGGGGAGTGGGTGGGAAAAGGTTAATTAAAGGGACAAAACTTTTGTAATATGGAGAGAGACACATCTAAGTTTGGATTTGAGTGTTGAAACAGGTGATTTTATTGGGAAATGGTGAATATGATTTTATATTCAAATAATACAGGTCCTAGAGATCACTTAATGGCAATAGTCTGCTTTCATGAGAGTTCTACTTTAAACGAGGAAAGGGAACAAAGAATGAAAATAACTTTATATCCAATATGGGGAGAGACAACCTGGCACCTTCAGTTAAAAGCAAAACACCCTATCATTTTCTAAATAAATGAAGAAAAAATCAAATATTGTGATATCACAAAATTTTATGTTGCTCTAAGCTAATATTGGATCCTAAATGTTAAAGTTTGATAGGAAATAAAAACATATTCATAAACACCTGAAAAAATGTTATGCAACACAGAATGATTGGCAAACTGAGGCCAATTCACACAGGTGAAGATATATTCATTTTTATTAAAGTAATTTTTCAAAGTAAATGAAATTTACTTGTGACAGCATCCTTGTCAGATAATTTGGTTCCTTTTAGAAACTTAAGCATAAATAAAAGCAATACAGTAAAGATTCAGGAACTTTGTGATTACCAGCAATTAAATCATTTGGAATTATTACTATTTCTGCATCCTTAGTCTTTGTATTGGTAAAATATGCTTCTTCCATTCTGCAATTTTAAGTATTTTAGTTCTCTCATCATTTTTCATATGACCTTTGGTTTTGATTCTCTCTTGAGAGTTTGCATAATCACTTTCCAAATTCTTAAATCACTTCCTTATCTATGAATTTGTCTTGGTGTTTTCTTTTGTTCATCTCAGAGATTCCTTTACTGTGACTTTAACATTCTGTTTAGTGAAGACAACTACAAACATAAGCAATCTGAATCCTAGAGAGCTACAAAGATAACAAGGACAGCACTGATGCTTAATTACTTCAGTACTGCATTCTGCCTTTCTGTAAAATTTTCAATCCTAGCTTTAGTTTACTTATCTGTAGGAGGTATGTACTTTTCATAGAACTTTTCCCATAAAGTGCATTTAAATATAACTGAAAATTTTTTGACCCCAGTAGGCTGCATATGCACAATGAGATATGGGACATACTATATTAAGACGTGGAGCCTATGGATAGACTCATTTTATTGGTGTCTTATTCTTACAGCCCAGCTATACAGTGTCCATGATTTAAATCTGGGCCTCGGTAAAAAAGATAAATGACTATATTATGGACATTTAGGTTACCTTCTTAACATTGTAACTTTTAAGTTAACACTGCAAATTTTAAGTTCACTGATGCTGACTACCAGCTTTCACACTGAATGTAGAGTGAACCTGGGTGTGATACAAAGAAAGAGACTTTTCCTCTGCCTCCTTCCAGACTCTTTAGGTTTATTAGGCTAATCTCTGCCTTAAAAGGTCACAAAATACAAAAAAGTCAACTACATCACATCTCAGGGTACTGACATGTCAAGATTAAAGCTCTATTTCCTGGTCATATTCTGTGTAATCTAAAAAACAAACAAAAACGAAAAGCCCACAAATAAACAGAGCACAGCACATGTAAGAATAGCAAAAGGGGAAAATAAGAAAAATATCCCTTTTCATAAACTTTATCATAAATATAGAACACCTCCTTCTGGGAATTTTAAAAAGCCTACTCTTTCTTTGCTGTATAGTAGGAAGAATCAGGCATATATATATATATATATATATATATTTTTTTTTTT